CGCCCGCACCCCCGCGGCCACCCCCGCCCCCAGGGCGATCACAAAGGGACACATGGGGGAAAATAACAGTCATACCGTCATCACAGAGGGACACATTGAAGAAGAAATTACTGGTCAACAAAAGTCCACTTCCCAGAAAGTTGTGGTTGAAGAAAAGGAAGTGGATGATGGACCGATAGCCTCCTCCCCTCATATGGAAGATGATAACAGGGATAAATCTGAGAAGAACAAGAATGCAGGGTCTGATGGTGTGAATTCCCTCTCATCTCAGTCAAATGGTGGGGGTGAAAAGGGTAAAAGGCAGAGAATCAAACATTTGCTAGAAAAAAGGTCATGCATCTAAGTCTCAAGTCCAGAAGGGTAACTTAATCATCTCGGTTAGAAAGAAAGGAGGGAAATGGGAAATTGGTCTATCTCCAATGGGACAGGATCAATATGAAGGGGTAACACTAAGAGGGTGGACTACATGCGTGGATTATCAGACAGCCGGGGACAAAACTTTCAAATGAGATTTGCATGACTTTCTCTCTGAACACTACGACCCGGGACCACAAGCGACTCTTACAAAAACAGGGGACCAAGCCAAAATGACTAAAAGGGACACCTATGTTAGATTTGAGAGAACAAGGAGGCAGGCCTTCGATGGTTTTCCCATACTACTTTGCTGGAGCTTCAGCAGCTCAAAGTCAAGGCAAATGCAGTATGAAACATCTCTGATGTGTCTTCCTTTTTGTGCTCTCTTCTATGTAAGGGCATCCTCTACCTCTCCTTTGGAGAACGGACCATGGTCTAGGTTGTAGTTTATTCCTTTTGCACAAATTACAGTAGGGTTCTTAAATCTAAATATCAGGTTGAGATGGATACAATACAAGCCTTTTATGGGAAAGTCCTAATTGGCAGAGGGCCACAAAAGAGGCAGATCTAGATTTACGATCCCTGAATGTTTATGGGTTGTCCTCAGCAGATGCAATCAAAAGGAGAGCCTGAAAAAACTTCGGTTCGTGCTGAAAACAGCCATGCTGGTTGTGGTCGTAGGCGGATTGAATAGGTTTCACCTATCTGATTCGTGATTGGGAGGCTTTTTGACACACATATTCTAGTGATTTGGTAGAGAGTAGTGGTCCATGAAAAAAAAAAGGGAAAAAAAAAGAACTCTGAATGTGAGTGTGGGTAATTGTCCGTGCTCGAACCTTACATCGATCCACCATAAGAACCTCCTCCCTTTCCGATCCCTGACGAGGACGACCTTACTACGATGGGGACGTAAAGAGGACGCTATTGTGGACCGATTGGGCATGCCACATAGGGGGATCGGGGTCTGTTTTCATAGATCAGTTTGCTTCCGTGTCGTTGATATTACCATATACTAATCTTACTGTGCTTGTGATAAGCCAGGATCCGCACTCGGCGGTTTCCCGTACCCCTAAGGGAAAATCCCACGTAGAACCCCGAAGTACGGATTCAAGATAATAGGGGAAAGCGGTGTTTCATTTTCCTTTTTCTTTTCCCTTTTTGTTTAAGGGGAGTGGGGGCAGAATAAAAAATGTAATTCCGGTCTGGCGTAGCCGGTTAGTGGCTGCGCCAAGAAATTCAAGAAACAGTTGGGACTTAGCGGGAGTATGAATTTCGAATTTTTGAGCGTGCGGTGGTTTTTGAATTTTTGCGCGCCGCGTAAACCTATTCTCCCGCTCTACATCCCCGCACCATCTTCCCTTCTTGTTGTGCATCTCCCTCCTGCATGTCTCTTCGTCTTCCCTCTAAGCGAAGTCTGATCCCCTCTGTCTCCTTTCCCTGTGAATGATTGGCTGTCTGATTGGGATGGTCGGGGCAATGTGGTGGCTGCAGGAAGCGCACCCCACTTGAATGACCACCCCAATCACGCAGACCATTCGACTCGCCTCCTTCGATCCTTCTGGAACGTTTGCCCTTCTTCTGTCCCGATTATCTACAGCCCGCGCTTCGCGCAGCCTCTTCGTCGCCTTCCGCACTATAAATTGTCGCAACCCCTTCCTCTCACCCTCTTTGATCTCGGCTGCAAGTTGCGCAAGCTATGCGCGAAGCCCACTGCGACGGAAAGGCTCGACGTGCCCCCCGGTGGGCGGAGTGACGGCGGGTGGCGGAGTTAGTGGTAGACTTGGGGTAAGGCAGTCGGAGGGACTGAGCAGTGATGGAGATCAGACGCCGATAGCGGCAAGGCCTTGTGGCTATGGTTGTCAGTGGTTTTGACGGATTGGCGACTGAGCCCGAAGCGGCCAGTTGAGAGAATTCTGTATTTTAAGACGACGTTTTTTCTCCATTGTTGCCTTGTCCCCGTGTGATGTGTGCAAGTTCCCCCA